GTACGTCGTCGTCGTCGTCGTCGTACGTCGTACGTACGTACGTCGTCGTCGTCGTCGTCGTCGTCGTCGTCGTACGTCGTCTCGTCGTACGTACGTACGTCGTCGTCGTCGTACGTACGTACGTACGTACGTACGTACGTACGTCGTCGTCGTCGTACGTACGTACGTACTACGTACGTACGTACGTACGTACGTACGTACGTACGTACGTACGTACGTACGTACGTACGTACGTACGTACGTACGTACGTACGTACGTACGTAGTGTACGTCGTCGTGTGTCGTCGTCGTGTACGTGTGTGTGTGTGTGTGTGTGTGTGTGTGTGTGTGTGTGTGTGTGTGTGTGTGTGTGTGTGTGTGTGTGTGTGTGTGTGTGTGTGTGTGTGTGTGTGTGTGTGTGTGTGTGTGTGTGTGTGTGTGTGTGTGTGTGTGTGTGTGTGTGTGTGTGTGTGTGTGTGTCCGCCCTATGACAACATGGAAAATAAATCACTGTGCTGGTTCTGTGGAATGCAGCTCTTCCCCTTGTTAAACTCACCCCCTGCTGATAAATAATGTGGTCATGAGTGTGTGTGTGTGTGTCCTCTTAGTAACACACACATTATTCAGAGGAAAAACTGCCTGCTTAAATCCCTCTGCAGCCTTTTAACCACCCTATTATACGAGTCACTTTTTATTATGTGCTAGAATCCATTGTTTTGTCTTTCTAATTGACATTTGTGTTCTGGTTGGATGGGGACTGGTGAATGAATGCTTGTGATTGTATTTTCCAGTGGTTGAGGTTTAAGTTGACATTATCATCATGCGTCAGCGTAAAGGAATATAACTTGTTGCACTAATAAAAGCATTCAGGGAAGGCTTCTGTTCAAGTCTGATAAACATCTTGTTTGTTGAGGTTACAGTGGAGGGTGTGGCTGGTTGACCAATGACAACACAGAGCAGCTCTATCACACGCCTCCAGTATACAGGTTTTTTAAAATAAATTGCTTACACATTTAAAGGGTTTGCCATTAGGCAGCCATGTGTAACAGGGACATGGTACTGCAAATGACATCAGTTACCACAAATGTGCTGCTAAAGATGTACTAAATGTTAAGTTAATAGGGTTGTTCTGGTTGATTACATCATATTTAATTTGTTTGCCATAATTATCTGTGATTTAAATACATTTATTTGGAAGAGAAACTGAGAGCCAACTGTTTGTTTTAACCATCCACGAACTAACAGAACGATTCAACATCTCCCTTGCTCCATTCAAACAGTTGTTTCTGTGCAATGAGGGCTTGTTCTCCTTTGTTATATATCTGTATATCACTTAGCTAGTCATTTTGCATCCTAATCCAATAAAATCATTTTCAAAAACAGACCCAAATCGGAATGGACTGGAATGATCATTTAGGTATTGTACTGTTGTCTTGCATTAAAAACAACATTAGAGTACTGCTTTCAGCATGCGACACCCATGATGTATTATGTGTTCTTCTTTTGTGAATAGCAGCGATTAATGCACGACTTAGGTTTTCACAAATGACACAATCTGTTGCCTGACTCTAGTGTCGAGCAGACCCTGCGTTATTGCCTTGCCTTGTTTGATCTATTTAGTTTGTTTACTCCATGATATACGCTCATGTGGGATCATACAAGTGACAGGACTTTAGGCCCGTCTGTCTCTTGGCTCCGTCTTCTCAGCTCTGCCTCTGGGGGGCTAAATGTCTCTCCAGAGGGACTGGCACAGGATGCGGCCCGATGACTGTATTTTACTGTTTACTGGCCCTCAGGAAGTGCCAGAGCCCCCATTTGGGACCAGTATGAACAATTTGATTAGCTTGACTGAGTTGGAGGGATGGAAGGGGGGGGGGGCTGCCTGGTTTTGGGGTGTTTTTGTGTAAGGAGACAGGCAGATTGGAGCAAATGGCACCCACTGCATGGTCTCTCAGTGTGTGTTGCCCCAGCAGTGCGGTTCAGATTAGACTCCCTTCATTGTTCCATGACTTCCTTCGCTCTTTCCGTTTCTTGCCTCAGATAGGTTACCATGGTGATGCCAAATTTGTGAGACAGTTCTGCCAGAATGAATGTTGCGTGAAATAGCATGAGGCCCAGTCTTAGTTAAATGGCACATGTTTTCATTTTCATTATTAACTTGGCCTAAACAAAAATCTTCAATTGATTATTTTTGTCTTCATTCCATAACATTGGGTAGGGTTAACACTGACCGAAGTGGAGACACTAAATGTGTCAAAGAGACAATAGGTCCCAATATCTAAGTAACTGAAAAAAAAGCTTGATTTAAGTAAACTAGCGGAGGCATGTGCATTGCAGAGGGAACGCTTGCTTGGTGTCAATTCCAAACGTATGTGTGTTTATAATCATACAGTTGCTTGATCTGGGCATGTTTGGACACACGCAGACAGCAATTGGCAGTCTTGCAAACGTATGACTGTGGCTCAAGGCAAGAGGATAGCAATGTACGTATGTAGAACAATGTCACATTATTCAAAAGTGAACAGTTTTATATAAATGTGACGTTGTGTAACTTCTCAAAGAACCTGACGCTGCCTGCATCATGTACTCATTTCATCCGTCTGTGTTGAAGTTTCTGTAATTGATTGCCCGCCCATGTTTATGAGGGCTGACTCACTCACCATCTTTTCCCTCCTAGGTAAAGTATTCATTCCTAAGCAGAGACCAATAGAAACACGCCAAGAGGAAATCACAACCCTCGATCCAGAATTAGAGGAAGCCCTGTCCAGCGCCACAGACACGGAACTGTGTGATCTAGCAGGTAAGAAGAAATACTTTTTGAGAGAGCTTAGTAGTCATTGTGAAAGGGCCTGTTAAGCTCTGACTGTCCTTCCCAGGCCTCCTTCCTTTACTGTAGGTGTTGATAGGGGAATACAAGGGCTAACTGAGCAAAAATAAAGCCTCTTCTCTGCTATGGCCTCAAGATTGAGTTACTTTTCATTCACTGAACACATGCTTACACACTGATTTCTGCCCACGGCTGCTGACTCTTAAGTTTTGCTTTTGTTTCACAGCGATACTGGGTGTTCACACGCTGGTCACCAGTAGTCAGACGTATGATGGGACCTCATCTAAAGAGGGTTACAACAGTAAGTACAGTCATTGAATATAACTGTTTATTCAAAGATGCCCAAAGCATGTAGCATGTTAACCTGACCTCTGCCTGGGTGTCTCTAGATGTGATCAAAGGGGAGAAGATGACCCCAGTATTTGATGAGCCTCCCAATCCCACTAATGTTGACGAAACTCTGCAGAGGATAAAAAGCAATGACAGCTCCTTGACAGAGGTCAACCTCAACAACATTAAGGTAAGCAGAAACACATGCTATCAGAGTGTCTATATCAGGGGTCGGCAACCTTTTTGATATGAAGTGCCATTTAAAAAAATATATGTTATTCAGCGTGCCAACGATCGATAATTATCAACGGGGAGGGGTTGAGGAGCTTGACGCTCGTCAACTATCAGCAGGAGGACGGGGGAGCCTCGCTGCGGGGAAGCAGTGTGTGGACCTGTAAGCGCAACTCACATGATGCCGAATTTAACAAACACATTTAAATAATTGGTTTAAACGGCATAATAACAAGGACGATCGTCCGTTCTGTGATTCTCCAGGTCACACATGTTATGATATTAGGGTGATGCAGAGTGAGATGAGATCGCTGTCCCTTTAAGAGAGAGAGAGAGAGAAAGAGAGAGGGGTGTGGCTTGTGCATGTGTGTTTGTGGATGGTAGAGCGACAGTGAGGTAACGTGTATGTTTCTGGAAGTGAAACGAAGCAGCAGAAAAACAGAGGTCTGTGATGTATTTTGTGAAACAGAAGAACAGCTAAATAAATGCAACGGCCTCCCAAGAAGAGCTCGCCTCTCTCCAGTCATTTAAGCTAAAGTGGGTTATTGAACCTGAAGCTTGTTGCTTCTGCCCTCCTCGACTACGGTCTGGGAGCCGACAGGAAAGTTCAACACACAGATGGCCAGTCCGCCCCTTTGTAGCATATTATTTCGATGAGAGATGAGCAGATCGCCACTGGGCTTTCAACTAAATACACAGCCACGCAAAAACTGCGGCATTTGTACAGCTCCTTATGGGTACTGCAATTAGTGAAGTGCTTTCCTCCGTGGTGAAACGATCAGCACTGCACCACGGAGGAAAGCGGCAGAAAGTCGCCTGGGGTAAAGAGAGCGGCGGTGGTCTGTGTTCATGTTGCATGGTTCTTTCTTGAAAGGTAAACGGGAACAAAGAGCTCGCCTGGCTGCGGTAGCTCACGTTCGGACTCCTGAAATTAAACCATATATTCAATGACATCTTTATCTGAAACCCAACACTTATCCATTTATCTAGTATGTGACCACCATGAGAATACTAAACCCATATATAGCCGCGTGTGCAATGGTGGGC